ACACTAACACAAGTCGATGGAACACAGTCCTGAGTCCGAGGCCCTGGAGTGTGTGGACAGCAAACAGGATGTGGGGGGCCAGCGCGTGAAGTGGGGTTGGGGAGGTCCTGGAAGGCTCGGGGAGCAGGAGGAGGCAGAGCAGAGGACCAAGCTCTTCGATGGGAACCCGGGGTGTTGCTGAGAGACTCCCTGACACAGCACAGCTAGAGGCCTGTGGTGTGTGGGGGAGCCCCGAAATGACGCGGAGAGAAGATTTAGGGGGTGCATCTTAGGTCCGTCTCCTCCAGGTCCTAAGACCATACGGGAGTCTCGGAGCCCTGGGGAGCCGGCCTCCCTCAGGTTCTGTGACACGAGGGTGTCAGGTCCTCTGCCTGATGCTGTGCTGGGGAGCGAAGGGCCTGGGCAACGCTCCGCTGGGGGCCAGGGGACAGACAGCTCTGCGCTGTGACTGCGAGGAGGGTGGCACCACAGCGTGGGCCCACACAGGGTCACTTACACAGCACCGCCCTGAGCGGGCAGGCGGGGCGGCCATGGAGCCCGCAGGGGACAGTGTGGCTTGTCCCCAGGGGCGGGGGACCGAGGACCCCTGGACTGACAGAGCAGGCCGGTGGAGGCTGACAGGGCGCCACCAGAGGGGACCAGCCTGCTCCTGTGTCTCCAGCCGCCCACGAGTTTCCTAGCACAGAGGTTTACAGCGGGGAGGGCGGCTGTGCAGCCCCTCCCAAGATGAGGATAAGGGTCCTTGCTTCATTTCACAGGTCTACGCGGCCCGAGCAGTACGCCCGCCAGTTCCCTCCTCGTGGGTTCTACAGGCCCCTGCTCACCTGTGCCGCTCAGGCCCGATTAGGTTCCAGCATGGCCCGATGTGAGGATCGGATCCCAGCATTTCTGGGGTTTGGAGCAGCAGGTGCCAGGGTAGCACAGGGGGGTCCAGGGGATCCTGCTGGAGCGCTCAGGCCCAGATGCTCTCCCATCTGCCCAAAGCCCACCTGCCCTCCGGGCCCCTGCTGCCCGATGCCTTCGCTGTGATCTTGGACCAGTCTTTTCTGGTTCTCCCCCCACCCCAGGCTTTTGCTATGGGGCTTGTCCATTTGCCAGGAAGAGGGAAGGTGGGACATCACCCCGGGGGAGGGGGCTGGGCATCTGCACTCCCTTACCCTCCACTTTCCTCCTGGACTGGGCACACGCACACGTGCCCGGTATGGTTTCTCAGTCACAGGTCTGTGATGCGCACTGCAGCCATGGAGTCCAGCACTGTACCCACCGTGCCACCTGCTGACCCCTCTTCTGCTAACTTTTTTTTCTTTAGGGAGATTATCGTTATACTGCACATGCAAGAGAGAGAGAGGAATGGTGAGACAGCATCCCGGGGACGCCCGCTGCGGTCCCTTCTCCCGTCTTCAAGCAGGTGTGACCTGCGTGAATTTTGTAAGCCGTGCTCAGGGGCTTGAAGCAGGGTTTGACCGCTGGGTGTCCAGCGGCCTAACCACATCTCCTAGTCCCACTTCTGCCTTCTGTGGTTGGTTTGGTTTGGTGTTGTTTGGGTTTTATTTTTTTTTTTTTTTTGAGAGAAATTTTTGCTATTGCCCATGTGTGCTCCCTGGAGAGAGAGAGAAAGAGAGACATAGGGACAGGAAGTGAGAAATCATCACCCAGGGGCAATGGCCACGCAGTAATCCCCTCTCCCCTTGGGATTCTGGAAACGCACGCACAAGCTCCACGTGAGTTTGAACCCTCTGGTCCGGGATTCGATCCGCAGTGCGCCGTGTGGGAGTCCAGACACGGAACCGTTAGCCATGTGCTTGTCCCTCTTCTATCTTTACATCCGAGTACAACCGGCCATTTCCGGATTGCTACGCTACGACTGTCCCGTAGCTACAACCACTCCACGGCTTCCGCCGCCCAAATTCCTTTCTGTTTATGTATCAGCATCAACTTTTTTTTTTTTTTCCTCTTTTTTTTGGAGAGGTTTTTGCTATAGGGTTCGCCAGACAGAGAGAGACAGAAAGCGAGAAATCACCCCCCAGGGGGGATGGTCACGCCACAATCCCTTCTCCTCCATTCTCCTCTCGGGATCTTGGGCACGCACGCACACGCGCCCGGCGTGAGTTTTAAGCCACAGGGTCCGGGACGCGAACCGCGGTCGACTACGTGGGAGTCCAGCGACATAGCCATTACGCTAACTGCTGGTTCCCAGCATCAACTTTTTAAAAAATTCTTGATGGAGAGCGTGTCGAGGTGGCCGCCGCTAAACCCCGCCGACCACGCCATACCGGGCTTCCAGGCCTTAGAGAGGCTAATGCAAACCACTGCAGCTCTAGGGCAGGAGCTGCGAGTCAGGCTCGGTGCCGAGCGTTTACACCGGGACGTGACCCTGACTGTCCCCGCCGCGCGGCGCCCCGCGGATCCCAGCGCCAGGACCCGCTGGGTCGGCGCGCAGGCACGAGCTGACAGCCTCCGGGGTC